TTGGCACAGAATAGAGCAGGGCTTAGGGCTCTTGTATATAGGGTCACTATGAGGCACAAGCAACTCAACAGCACATAGCAACAACAATTTCTTTAGCTGTGGACCTCACAGAGTCTGTATTATGCTGATTGGCTTTGTATAATAAAATTCAACTGTCCAAGGTGGGAAGGGATGGGAGGAGAGGGATAAGAATGGGTGGGGAAATCACAGGGTTGCACAATTTGGTGGGAGGAAGGAAAAGGTAAAAGAAATGGGAAAGATCAAGGGTGGACCCGAAAAGATGGGGTAATGGTGGACGTAGTTCAATGGTGATTAATTTTATAAAGTACAATGTATGAAACACAATGCAAATGATGGAAAGTGTGAAACACAATGTGTATTAATTTTGTATCGAAACCAATATAAATGAATATTTTTTTTAAATATGCGAAAAATGGAGTTCTGTAATAAATATTAGAAATTCAGTGTCTAAAAATCCCTGTTAAAATTTTATGAAGCTAGTTAGCATAATACAGACTCTGTGGGGTCCAAGCTAAAGAAATTACTTTCCTTAATCCACAATTTGCCAAAAATATTGACTACAGCCGTGCACACAGGTATATGTATATGCGTGTATGTGCTACTTCATGTATCATGCCACACGATAATCCAAACAGCTGTATTTCACACACACACACACACACACACACACACACACACACACACACACACACAGAAATACACTCTGCAAAAACTAATTTTTTAGTATTATGTGGTTTATTTGTAAATTGTTGGTGTTAGTTGAGAGGTTTTCTATTTTTACCTGTTGCTACAGAAGTATGCCAAATACCCAATCTGAAAAGTCTGTCAGTCATGGTTCATGGAGGACTTTTATGTGTCATGATGAAGAATGAAAGGTATTCATGTAAAAATCAAAGGCAAACTTGTTTTTCATTTTAACATTAGATAGAAATGAAAAGATAAAACTAATATTGTGATAAGCTTCACTCCATACTTTTTTTTTTTTTTTTCAGCTGGGCACCAAAGAAGGGTACCTCACCAAACAGGGGGGCTTGGTTAAGGTAAGGAAGCTTAATAGCCATGAAGAGAAAGAATTGAGTTCTCTAGTTTTAACACTGATCTTTTCTTAAAAAAAAAAAACAAACCCAAACAAACAGGAAAATAACCTATTCATTTAACTCCATGATATTTACCTGTTTGGAGCACTCATCTTCATGAATAATTACCTCAAATTCATGAATAACCTCAAAATTCAAGAAAATGGCAGTTCTTGTTCCAAAATCTCATAACAATCTACAATTTATACTCAAGAAAACATAAACCATTTAACAGACAAATTAAGGATGAAAGTAGCACATTAATTTTAAAACATTTGTTTCTTACAACTACGAAGTCAGTCATAAATTGTTTATCTACAAAGTAGACTAAAATCATCACAAACCGTTTATCAAATTTAAACTTTAATAATATTTCAAAGAAAAATCAGTTTCAATTTTACTGATTCACAGTATCCAACTGTTTGCCATATACAGTATACCTTTAAACTTACTTATTTTATTTCAGTATATTAGAAAAGCCTTCATGGAATTTGCCCAGTCTTATTTTAAAAAGTCACATTATTTTAAAAGTCAAAGTACCTTCACTCACGAGTACTTGCTTGAGTATAGTATTTGCTTTAGCTCAGTCATTTGTGCTCCTTGAGGGTGGGCTGTATTCATAGTCATCGATATTTATTTTTAAATGATTATCTTAATTGAGCAGAATACTACCTAGAATTAAATTAGTCAATTCTGCCTCACGGGGGCCCCATCTGCTTAGGAGGTGGACCTGTGTCCTCTAGATTTTTTGGTGACTGTGACATTTCGGAAGTAGATGCCGGGATTTTCTTCTAAGGCACTTCTGGGTGGACTCCAAACTCTAACTTTTCAGTTAGCAGTCCAGGGTATTTTTGGATTCTGAGAACATTAAAAAGAAGACATTGTCTTTCAATGGCTATTGAGAATCATCTACTAGTTTTTGCTGCAAATGCCATCGGACCCTTAGACATGGTTTAGAATATTATGTAATTTGAGATTCCTGACCCTCAACTTTTCTATTAGCAAAACAGAAATAATATTTGCTGTTGTTGTGTGAGGAATGACTAACATATAATCAGCCTCCAAAGATTGACTAGAGCTCATTGTTTTTGTTGTGTACCTTCGAGTTGGAACCAGCCCATAGCGCCAGTGTGAGACTTAATGTACTTCTCTCATGTATTTTTTTTAAGAAAAAGGGATATTGTTTCATTCAAATGCTGTTTACTTTTCTTCAGTGTGTGTGTATGTTTTAATTAAAGTCTCTTTGTTTTAATTTTTTCCCACAGACTTGGAAAACAAGATGGTTCACTTTGCACAGAAATGAACTGAAATATTTCAAAGACCAAATGGTAAGAAACACAGTTTCCCTTTAAACATCAGCACTCTGGAACAAAGAAATATCTGCCTTAAGAATCGCTGAGTATCTCTTATGTCTACTCCTGGCCCCAGAAAAACAATAAATACTTGGGAGTGAGAATTCCTGATTCCTGACATGAACCAACCTGTTTTGATGAGTATTCCAGAAATTGCTTTCTTGGACTGTCTATGTTGTGGCTTTCATAGAGTATAATTCTATTTAGGATAATAGAATAGTTTTCTTGCTAGAATTTATTGCCTCCCTGAGGCAATTTTCCCATTTATTTAAAAAAAAATTGTTGCAAGGTCTTAAAAAAAATTGTTTATTTTCTGGAATGTGGGGCAAATTGCCTTTATGAACAACTGCCCTCTTTGCTATGAGACCAGAACTGGATAGTACCCAACTATCATTATTAATTAATTTGATCAGAGGTTCTACGTAAGAACCATGATAAAAAAAATGCCAGAAAACAATTTCAGATTCTCATGGAATTGAATTTTTATGAGCATGGAGCCTGGATGACACCAGAAACTATTGTTGTTATTGTTGTTGTTATTGTTATGTGCCGTTGAGTCGCCTGTGAATCATAATGACCCTATGTACAACAGCCCTAAACCCTGCTCTGTCCTGAGCCAACCCTACTGTCTCTGACACACATACCTCCATTACCACAGTCACAGAATCATCCATCTCATAGAGGGTCCTCCTCTCCTACATTGTCCCTCTACCCTCCCAAGCATAACATTTCTTTCCAAGGATTGATCCTACCTTGCTCTATTTCCAAAGTATGTCAGACGAAGCTTCACAATCTTTGCCTCCAAGAAGCAGCCTGGTTTAAGCTTCTATAGGACGAACCTGCTCATTTTTTTAGCAGTCCATGATATATTTAATACTCTTCTTCAACACCACAGCTCAAAGGCATCAAGTCTCCTTCTACCATCTTTAGTCATTGTCCAGCTTTATGAAGCATAGCAAGTGATTGCAAAGATCATGGCCTGTATAAAGCACACCTTAGTCTCCAGACCGACATCATTGCTCTTCAGTACTTAGGAGAAGTCTCTGACAGTACAGTTCCCCAACACAATACATCTTTTATTTTCCTGGCTACTGGTGCCAAGATTCTCATCATTGGGCTGAATGGCAGCATCGTGATGGATGGTGAAGAGATTGAGATTGTAAACAGCTTTAGTTTGCTTGGCTCCACAATCGACACTCTTGGCACCTGAAACTATTGTTGTTGTTGTTGTTGTTGTTGTTGTTGTTATGTGCCGTCGAGTCGCCTGCGACTCATAGCGACCCTATGTACAACAGCCCTAAACTCCACTCTGTCCTGTGCCAATCGCACTGTCTCTGACACTCCCATCCCAATTATGCCAGTCACTGAATCAATCCACCTCATAGAGGGCCTTCCTCTCCTGCACTGTCCTTCCACCCTCCCAAGCATGATGTCCCTCTCTAAGGACCAGTCTTTCCTCACAACATGTCCAAAGTATGTTAGATGGAGCCTCAGAATCCTTGCCTTCAAGGAGCCACCCGGTTTAACCCTTTCCAGGACAAATCTGTTTGTTTTCCTAGCAGTCCATGGTATTCTCAATACTCTTCTCCAGCACCACAGCTCAAAGGCATCAATTCTCCTTCTATCCTCCTTGGTCATTGTCCAACTCTCCGATGCATAACAAGTGATTGCAAAAACCATGGCCTGTATCAGACGCACCTTAGTCTCCAAAGAGATACCATTGCTCTTCAGCACTTTGGAGAGGTCCCTAACAGCAGACTTTCCCATGGCAATGCGCCTTTTAATTTCCTGGCTGCTGGTGCCAAGACTGTTGACTATGGAGCCAAGCAAACTAAAGCTGTGTACAATCTCAATCTCTTCACCATCCATCCTGATGCTGCCAATCGGTCCAGTGGTGAGAATCTTTGTCTTCTTGACATTGAGCCTCAATCCATATTGTAGGCTGCAGTCCTTGACACTCTGCAGCAGGCGCTTCAGGTCCTCCTCAGTTTCAGCAAGCAGGGTTGTGTCATCCGCATAACGCAGATTGTTGATAAATCGTCCACCAATCTTGACCCCACATTTCTCCTCATAGAGCCCAGCCTCCCGGATAATCTGTTCTGCATATAGGTTGAAAAGGTATGAAGATAGGACGCATCCCTGGCGTACGCCCTTCCCAATTTTGAACCATGCAGTGTTCCCTTGCTCTGTTCTGACGACTGCCTCCTGGTCCAAGTATAAGTTTCGCATTAGAACAATCAAGTGTTCTGGGATTCCCATTCTTCTCAGAGTCAGCCACAGTTTGTTATGATCTACACAGTCAAATGCCTTTGCATAGTCAATGAAACACAGATAGACATTCCTCTGGTATTCCCTGCTTTCAGCCAAGATCCATCTAACATCAGCTACAATATCTCTAGTACCACGACCCCTTCAGCTAGAAAAAGAGTGGATAGATAATGGACACTACATTGGAACAGATGAGGGAAAGAAGGACCCAAAAGGAATATATGATTAAGTATTATATGTATAACAACAGTATGGAACAAGGGCCACATTGCAAGGTGGACTGGGGTAGAGCATAGAGGGTGAGGGAAGAAAAAGTGCAACAATGAATGGATAATTTTTTTTAAAAAACTTATAAAAAATAAAGAAAATATGCCCTAAAGTCTTAAAATCAAACAGTAGTGTTTATTTTAACTAATGATTATCTGTGTAAAAAGAGCAAGAGCAGCAAGAGGCTGGCAAAATCTGACCTCTTATAATTCCACAAGGGGAAACAGCCCCATCATAAGCATTCATAACACAAAACCAGTTCCCATGAGGTCAGACACTCCTCCATGTTCCCACACCTCCTTTTACTAATCCCAATGGCTCTACTTCTCCACTGGGTCCAAACTCCATTGCAGTTGCTACACAGACCTCACAGCACCATATTCACAGTTATGTGGTTTATTAGCGAAGCCAGCAGGTTACAACTCACGTTGGCAACAGGATATAGTTTCTCAATCAAGACAGCTTCTGAAGTGTTCTCACAGGCCTTTCACCCTTGTTGCTTTTGGTTACTGTTGCAAAGCTTGCTTAGTCATACCAACTATGGCATTTCTTCCCCAAGTCCTACAGCAAGTCTGTTGAAGGCTCTTAGCTTTTGTTCGGTGGGGTAGCTGATCCAAGGTCAGCTCCGTCTCACATTGGATCTCTAGTTCTAGCTGTAGCTGCTGATGTTCTCCTATAGGCTCTGGCCTGACTGACACAGGAATCTCAGGCAGCTTATGATGCATGCTGCAGCTTCTTTATTGCTGTTAGTGATATTCTCAAAGACCTGATGCTGAACTTACTCAATTTAAACCTGTTGGGATGGTGAAACTAGCCAATCCCTGCTGGATAGACTAACACATTCTATTTGTATGTTCCTGCCTAACCATATGGCAAAGTCAAGGGCAATGACCTAGAAAAGCCATTTTGAACATTATATCTACTATATCACAGTCTACCTTGGCCATTATATACTCTTCTAGAAGAGATTGAGATTTTTAACAACTTTAGTTTGCTTGGCTCCATGGTCAACACTCTTGGCACCAGCAGTCAGGAAATAAAAAAACGTATTGTGATGGGAAAGTCTGCTGTTAGGGACCTCTCCAAGGTACTAAAGAGCAATGGTGTCACTCTGGAGACCAAGGTGTGTCTGATACAGGCTATGGTCTTTGCAAACACTTGTTATGCATCAGAGAGTTGGACAATGAGGAGGATAGAAGGAGAATTGATGCCTTTGAGCTGTGGTGCTGGAAAAGAGTATTGAATATACCATGGACTGCCAAGAAAACAGATTCATCCTGGAGAGGGTTAAAACAGGCTGCTCCTTGGAGGCAAGGATTCTGAGGCTTCGTCTGACATACTCTGGACATGTTGTAAGGAGGGAGAGGTCCTTGGAGAGGGACATCATGCTTGGGAGGATGGAAGGATGGCATAGGAGGGGAAGACCCTCTATGAGGTGGATTGATTCAGTGACTGGGGTAATCAGGATGAGTGTGTCAGAGGCGGTGCGATTGGCACAGGATAGAGCAAGGTTTAGGGCTGTTATACATAGGGTCGCTATGAGTCGCAAGCAACTCGACAGCACATAACAACAACAACAACAGAACTAACTATATGCAATCAAATTGCCAATAATTTGAATGAGTATACAGGAAATGTAGGAGACACCTAATCTATGTTAATCGGAGAAGAGCAATCTGAAAAGAAGGGTAAGAATGATTGTACAACTTGAAGAATGCAATCAGTGCCACTCAATTGGACATGTAGAAATTATTGAGTTGGTGTATGTTCTGTTGTATATATTCTAGACTATAACAACAAAAATATAATAAATTTCTCATGTCCATTTCTGAGATGATTTTATTTCTCTCACTTTCCCAATATATAATTTCTAAGTGAGTAGTTTATAAAAATGAAAACCAAAATATTGCTCCAATCCATGTTTTAAAACTCATTCACCATATGTCAACGGATAGAGACAACCTCTTTTTAATATTGACTGCTTTGAAAAAAACAATAAAACCCATTGCCTTGAGCCTATTCATAGTCAGGGTGCTTCTTTTATCAAGTTTCCTATGCTGGAAGTCTTATCCAGAACAAATTGTTTCATCTTTCTACCACAAAAATGCCCTAGTGGTAAGAACCTGTGCTACAATCCCAGAGGCACACAGTTCAAATCTAGTAGTTGTTCTTCAACATAAAAGTGGGCAGTCTCCTCCTGTGAGATTTGCTGCCTCTGAAAACTCACTGGAAGGTCAGCTATGAGTTGGTTCTGACTCACTCACTGCACATAAAAACAATAAAGTACCTGGTGGATTTGAATCACTGACCTTTCAGTTAGTAGCCTAACACATTCTATATCAGAGGTTACAGGTGATTTTCAAACATGGCATATGAATTCCCTGTGTAAGACTTCTCTGTTTTTAGCCCTCTTAGTGAAAGGAGAATTGGCAGTTTGACACACTGGAAGACTTGTTAGGCAAATAGTTATGGATAGATTTTTGGGTGTGTTCATGTTACACTAACCTAATTTGTTTTGTTTTGTTTTTCTATTTAAATAAAGTCACCAGAACCAATTCGAATCCTAGACTTGACAGAATGTTCAGCTGTACAATTTGATTACTCACAGGAAAAAGTAAACTGCTTTTGGTAAGTTACTCTTAAAGATGGAGTGTTTTTAAAAATGAAAGTCAATGAAACAATAAATTTTTTTTAAGTGAACTGGACTAGAGGAAGGTGGGGGCTAAGGAGGAAAATGACAACAATGAATGAATGAAAATCCAACTTTTTTGTAAATTTTCATTAAAATCATAGTTTTTAAAAGGTAAAAGTCAAGGTTACCACCATAGAAACTGGTTAACACAAATGAGTTCTTCAGCAAACGCTCTTTTTGTTTTTCTTATTTTTTAATCAAAGCAAAGGCTATCTAAATCATTTGAGAGATCAGCTGAATAAATACATGAGTCATGTATTCAACCAAAATACTGGACCAATTAAAGAATCTAGAGGGTGCCAAGCTGCCTTGGACATGGTATTTTTCTTCTTTGAAGTCTCATCAGAGAATAATATGAAAGCAGCATGAGGTGTTTGGAATCACAGAAGCCTCGATGGCTTGAGACTTAAGCCATCATATGAAGAGCTGGAAAAGGGGAGAGAGGTGTTGAATGGGGTAGGAGGAAGTGGAAAGGGATGCTGGTGGAGCAGGGAAAGGGGTGGGTCAAGACATGTGGCAAGGATGGGTAGCAACACTGAATCTATCAGTCATTTCACAGATTGGACAAATGTCTTTCATCTGCTCCTTTCTGTAAAATGCTTGTCTCTCCGATGCTATTATTAAAAAATAAACAAAATTTAAGATAGACTAGGAAGAAGGACTGGCCATCCACTTCTGAAATAACAGGACTTTGAAAACCCTATGTACAATAGAGTACACTTAACTAGCAGAAATGGCAGTTGAGGCTGAGAGCTCAGATATGGAAACACAAAGAAAGAGGAATAGCTGTAAGCAGACACTAGTGATTGGAATGTGGAATGTAAGAAGCATGAATGTACGAAAATTGGACATTAAGACAGAAACGGAATGCATAAATATTGACATGTTGTTGTTGTTGTTGTTGTTGTTAAATGCCGTCGAGTTGCAGGCAACTCATAGCGACCCTATGAAGGAGAGTTCTTGACGCTTGGGTGCCTTTCATCCTCTCTCCAGGTTCATAGGGTTTCTGGAGGCAAGCTATTATGGAAGTGGACGCCACTCCTCCTTCCATTGACATATTAGGTATTAGCAAAGTGAGGTGGCTTGGCACGGGACGTTTTGAATCAGATGATCACATGATCTACTATGCCGGGGATGAAATGGTGAGAAAAAAATGGGGTTGCTTTCATAATTAAAAAAGTCATTTCTAGATCCATTATGTAATACAATGTAGTGAGTGAGGGATAATATCCATACACATACAAGGAAGTCCAGTGAATATCACTGTCATTCAAATATATGTACCAACAACTAGAGCCAAAGAGAAGAAAATAGAAGATTACTACTAACTTTTGAAGTAAAAAAAAACAATCAATCAAACATGCAATCAAAATGCACTGATAATAATGGATGGTATGATGGAATGAAAAAGGTAGGAACAGGGAAGAAGGATCAGTAGTTGGAAAACATGGACTTGGTGACCGAAATGAAGCTGGAGATAGAATGATAGAATTCTGCACATTCAATGATTTTTCATTGAAAATACCTTTTATGGAAAACCCAAATGCAGGCTATACACATGGGTTTCACCTGATGGTACGCAAAGGAATCAAATTGATTATATCTGTGGAAAGAATCGCTGGAGAAGCTCAATACCAGCTGTGAAAACCAGGCCAGGTGCTGATGTGGAACTGACCGCCAACTACTTATATGCAAGTTCAAGTCTGAAGCTGAAGAAAATAAAATCCACAGCAACCAAAATTTGACCTTACATCTATTCCACTTGAATTTCAAAACCATTTCAGGAACAGCTTTGAGGCCTTGAGCATAAATGAGCGAAAACCAAATGAGCTGTGGGAGTATATCAAGAATATTGTCCATGAAGAATGCAAAAGGTTGTTACAAGGCAGAAGAGGAAGAAAAGACCAAAATGGGTATCAGATGAGACTCTGAATATTGCATTAGAGTGCTGAGAAGCCAAAGCTAAAGGAAGAAATCAGTAAATTAAGGAGCTGAACAGAAAATTTCAAAGGGCAGCTCAGGAAGACAAAGCAAGGTATTATAAAGAAATGTGGAAAGGCCTGCAGTTAGAAAATCACGAGGGCCGAACTCACTCAGCATTTTTTAAGCCGAAGGAATTGAGAAAAAAAAAATTCAGACTACAAGTGTCAATACTTAAGGATGCTTTGGGCAGAATGTTAACTGATCCAAGAAGCCTTAAAAGAAGATAGAAGGAGGGCACAGAGTCACTGTACCAGAAGGAATTGGCTGACACAGAAAAATTTCTTGAAACAATGTATGAACAAGAGACTGTGGTGATGAAGGAAGAAGTTCAAGCTGCCCTAAAAGAATTAGCAAAAAATCATGGCTCCAGGAGTTGATGGCATACCATTTGACATATTTCAACAAACAGATGCTGCCCTGGATGTACTCACTAAGTTATGCCAAGAAATCTGGAGGACAGCCAGCTGGCTAATTGACTGGAAGAGATTGATATTTGTTCCCATTCCAAAGAAAGGTGACCAGACAGAGTGGAAATTATCAAACAATATTAATATTACATGCAAGCCAGATTCTGCTGAAAATTATACAAAAACGACTGGGACAACACATCAACAGAGAACTACTAGATGTGCAGGCTGGGTTTAGATGGGGTCGTGGTACTAGGGACATTGTGGCTAAGATGGATCTTAACTGAAAGCAGGGAGTACAAAAGGAATCTGTGTTTCATTGATTATGCAAAGGCATTTGACTGTGGATCATAACAAACTGTGGCTGACTCTGTGAAGAATGGGAATCCCAGAACACTTGATTGTGCCTATGTGAAACCTACATTTGAAGCAGGAGGCGGTATTCAGAACAGAGGAAGGAGACACTGCATGGTTCAAAAATCAGGAAGGGTGTCCGCCAGGGATGTATTCTGTCTCCATACATTTTCGACCTGTATGCAGAACAGATGATCTTGGACGCTGGGCTGTTTGAGGAGGAATGTGGCATCAGGATTGGAGGAACATTCATCAACAATGTGCGTTATGCAAATGACACAACCCTGCTTGCTGAAACTGAGGAGGACCTGAAGCACTTGTTGCTCAAGGTCAAGGACTGCAGACTTCAATAAGGATTGAAGCTCAACATCAAGAAAACAAAGATTCTTGCCAATGGGAAAATCAGCAGCATCATTATGGATGGTGAAGAGATTGAGATTGTTAACAATTTTAGTTTACTTGACTCCACAATCAACATTCTTGGTATCTGCAGCCAGAAAATTAAGAGATGATTGCATTGGGAAAGTCAGCTCTCAGGAACCCCTCCAGAATACTGAAAAGCAATGACATCAGGTTGGAGACTAAGGTGCACCTGATCCAGGTCATAGTCTTCACAGTTGTTTGCTATGTGTCAGGGAGCTGGACAATGACTAGGGATGATAGAAAGAATTTATGCTTTTAAGCTGTTGTGCTGGAAAAGAGTGTTGACTATACCATGGACTGCTAGGAGAACAAAAAGGATCATCCTGGAGAAGGTGAAACTGGGCTGCTCCTTGGCAGCAAGATTTCTGAAGCTTTGACATACTTTGGCCATGTTACAAGGAGGGACCTGTTCTTGGAGAAGGACATTATGTTTGGGAGGGTAGAGGGACGGTGCAAGAGAGGAAGACCCTTGATGAGATGGATCGATTCAGTAACTGCGGTACTGGGGTTAAGTGTGTCAGACAATAAGGTTGGCATGGGACAGAGCAGAGTTCAGGGCTCTTAAAAATAGGGTCACTACGAGTCACAAGCGATTTGATGACACACAACAACAATTTCCTCACCATTGTAAAGTTTGCTGACAGGGGTAGATTCATATATCAAGTTCATTAAATGGCTTTCTCAGGCCTTTTATTAATTCTGCCCCTTCTCTCCACAATACTTGAGGAAATGTTTGATCAACTGAACATAAAAACTAGCTATCTAGATTATCTTACACTATTTCTTTTATCAGTTTAGTATTTCCATTCCGGACATTTTATCTCTGTGCAAAGACAGGAGTAGAAGCTGATGAGTGGATCAAGATATTGCGCTGGAAATTGGTGAGTTATTACATCTCCTAGATGTCTATTTCTGTTTGTTAGCCTGGAGTTGATTTTAACTCATGGCAATCCACATGTAACAAACATGTTTGTACAGAAAGAGGCCTGCTGTTCCAGAATTTGAACAAGCCTTTGTGTTGGTAGTAAAACTCCTTACCAGTTAGCCACTAGAGGTCCCTTGCTTGCTAGTATAATTGATTATTAACCACCAACTTGGTCTTAAAGTTTATTAAAATTTCCTTTAAATACCATCTGGAAATCCTTGATGTTCTTAAAAGTAAAATAATTTCCTTCTAATTATTTTTTTATTAGAATGGAAGCTTATAATTAATATTTTTTCCATACAATCATTCACAAATATTTTCTTTTACAATATTATCATTGATGAATGTGATTAACTACAATGTCCAGTCAACTATTTATTTTTATCAAATTACATAATGTATTAGTGCTCTCTCAAAACTGAAAATTTTGGCAAGTATTTGGGTGTTTGCTTTCATTGTTTTTCCAGTTTTAATTTGAAATAATTATACTCTTTATTAGTTTTAATGTATTTGATATTCAGTGAGGATGTATTTCGCCACATGAAACCTTTGCTCAAAGATAAATGAATTATTCTTCCAATTTTATAATGACATGTATTAATAAATATGTGATGTTTATAAAAAAATTAAAAATAACTCAATGGCAAATACTTTCAGAGATTTCTCCCTGAAAATATATATTTAAAAGCAAAATTTAGTGCTTGCTTTGGCAGCACATATACTAAAATTACAATTTAATGATTCTCTACATAGTGTCCTGTGAACATCATTTCCTATTAAAAATGTAGCTACATCCTCATTTTGATTAATTGAATAAGTATTATGTTTTATGGGTGTACCATACCTCTTCGGTAAATCTCTAATTAGTAAATATTTTTAGCAACCACTTTGCAATGTTTCTCCAGATAAAAGTACAAGGTGTAAAATTAATTTAGGGGAATGTCCATGATAGTTAGGGAGCTCTGGTGGTTTAATGGTAAGGAACTGCGCTGCCAACACAAGGGTATGTGATTCAAATCCATCCTCTCCTGTGAGGGAGAAAGATGGGCAGTCTCCTCCCATGCGATTTACTGCCTCTGAAAACCCACTGGAGGGTTGGGTATGGTTCTTGTCCAACTTGACAAAAAACATCATTATTTTCAATTGCATGATTTCTTTATTGTTGTCTTATTTGATGTTTGTTAACAGCTACAGTTGTCAAGTCATATGCACATATAGTAATATGCATGTTTGTGCTTTTTTACAGTCACAAATAAGAAAACAGCTAAGTCAAGGGGATGGCACAATCCGGTCTCGGTCATTCATCTTTAATTAGACTTTTCCTGACAGAGTGGAATGTTCCATGACATATGGTCAATAGCAGACTTCAGAGGAAAGGTGACTAAGGAATTGTCTTTAAAAACTAAGCAGATGCTGAATGAGACATTTCTGAATTTATCACAATAGCCAACTCATGGAAAACTGCTGTCCTTACAAGATATTGCCATCTCCTTGAGAATTCCAATGCAAATATTGCTCTGATAGAAACGAATGAAAGCACCACTTTGAGATGTGCTCAGTGTCGGAACGTACAGGATGTGGTTTCCAAGCTTGTTAACATTCGTAGCTTGGAGTTTCACTCAGTATTATGACAAATTCATCTGACATCACAGTTACACTCTAAAAAGAAAGATACAGTGGCATGCTTGAGGCTGAGATAGTTTCTTCAGAAAAAAATACATCAAACTAGTAAATGTCAACAATTCTTAGGGAGTGTGTGCGTGGGTTTTTGCTTTTTTCTTCTCCTCAAAAACAAAAGCAGTTTCCAAAAGTTGAAATATGTTTGCATTATTTATTTTATCTTTCTTAAAGACTTGGCTATCTAGTGGATTCTTCTCTTCTTTCTGGTAAATAGTTATTCCATAAGAACTTAATATCCATTGGACAATCGTGTTGTTGTTGTTGTCGATTGCTGTCAAGTTGAGAATGACATATAATGACCCTATGAACAAAAGACCTGAAGCCTTTCTTTAATTATCATCGTTTCTCAAAGTTCATAGGGTTTCCAGAGGCATGTTGTTTGGGAAGTTAATGCCATTTCTGCTTTCAAACCTGTCTTAAACTGGGAGCTCAATTGTGTAGGAAAATATAAATGAAGGTATGATTTAAAAACCGACTTTTCTAACCATCTTGAAGGAAATGCTTTAAAGACTGAGAGTTGAAAAGTGGATAATGAAGTAGCAGATGACTCAATTTAATAGTAGGGAGCTCTGGTGGCTGAGTAGTAAGAAACTGCACTGCAATCCTGAAGGCACATGGTTTGAATCCACCAGCTGCTCTGTAAGAGATGTTTGGGAAATCTCTTTCCATGTGATTAACTGCCTCTGAAAACCCACTGGAGGGTCAGCTATGGGTCAATTCCAACTCAATGGTACAACAGTAATAATATTTCTAGCCAGCCAGGGTTTGGCCCTTAACTTATCTTGACCCCATGCTGACCCTTCGGTAGGATCAGCTGACTGATCTTTGGTATCCTGTGACTGGTTGTAGATTGAACCATTGTAATCAGTGAGACAGTTTCACTGGCTGATCTTTAAAATTAGATTGCGAGGGCTTTCTTCCTAGTCTGTCTCGGTCTGGAAATCCTGCTGGAAACTTCTTAGCATCACAGCAACACACTAGCTTCTAGTGACAGATGGATAGTGGCTGTATATAAGGTAATTGACCAGACTTCTACCTCTGAGCCTGAATCAGCAGTGCCCTCAACAGTGAATAATACAACACTTACAAGCACTATGTTATCTTCATCTGACATTTCTTCAGAGATGGAAGATTTCTCAAGAATATGTTACCCCAGTCCTCTCCCCTCAGTTAACTGCAGTGTTGGCCCAAGGCATGCAAGAATCATTTTTCCCTGAGATTGGTTAAACACATTGTACCTTGCGGAGTCACTTCTGTTATATTAGAGGAAGTATAATTAGATAAAATATACAACTTATGTTATGTAACATTTGTCAAACTAGATTGGCATGGAGAAAGGAGTATTGGTGTCCAGAGTTCACAATTAGTTCGGCCCTTTGTGTTGCTTTTATTAAAATGTCTTACTGAGATAGGGATTCGAAGGGAGGCAAGGTGGGACATGGGATTAATGAGGGTGCAATGCTCAGTAACATTGCTCTTTCAATACAAAAGCTGACCATGCTAAAATAAGTTTCTTTGATTATAAACATCTAACAGCTAGAAATTACATGTTTACACATTACAACAAAGTTTCTAATATATTGGAAGGTTCTTTTGCATAAAGCCAACTTCAAGTTATAAAACATAGTGTCAAATTTTCAAAGCAAGAAGTTACAAATGAATTCTCACTGAGATGTAAGCTTTTATGCTGTTTTCTTAGAACTCACGGTGTTTGTGTAGGAGTAATTGCTATACTATTTGTCAAATGTATGATGTTTATTTATAATATTTAGTTCTGTTAAGAACATGATTTTTACCATTAAAACATATTTTAATATCTGTATCTTAAAATGCATGCAATGGATTAATAAATAAACTCAAACTCACTCAATGCCAGCAAACACTGACCCATAGTTGATTCATAGTTGCAACTCCCTATATGCAACTCTCTACAGACTCCACCACCAGAGCATGGGTGAAACAAAATGTACTAAAACTAGAGTTCTTTTTTTATCTCCTCACCACTTGCTAATATTTCCCTTGAGGAGGTGAGCTGTGGTGACTGTAAATAAGTGAATAGATGTATACACAGAGGTATTTTATCAAAATAAGTGAAAAAGTTTCATTAAGGTAATGCAAAGGAGATACGGTTGGTGAAAGGCCATGTGGAAGAGTTAAAGAGAAAAGTAGGAGAAATACCTCTTGGAAAGTAAGGAGTGAACCCAAACCTTAAGGCATGCTGCCAGGGGAAGAGAAAATGGGTCCTGCTATTTACTGGCTCCCAGTCTCCTGAGACTGGTAGCCTAGCCTCCCCTAGGAATCTCTGAGATTGGATGGGGTTTGGAGAAAGGAGATCTCTTGCATTTCTAAACAAGGGGCTTCTTCACCTTGATGCATTTGTCCTTGACTCCCCTTTCCTATTTCCTGAGAAATCTTGCTTTTAGTCATCTCCCATAGGAAGAAGGGGGGCAGAGGGGAGAGGGAGAGGGAGAAGGAGAGAGACAGGGATTGACCAGGTAGCAATTCTGTCCCTAACGTCGAATACAAAGCTTCAAAATAAGTTTTAGTTGAAGAAGACTACAAACGATTACATGGCAGTGTACAGAACAAAATAAGAAAAATACTGTAACAGAAGTTGTAAGAACTACATGTTGTTAGGTGTCATCAAGAAATAATGACTCATACAACCCTATAACCAGCATATCTATACCCTGCCCTATCCTGTGTCAGCTTTCCATCTCACACTTGAGCCTATTGCTGCAGACTCATTGTCAATCCACTTTGTTTGAAGTCTACCTCTCTTTAGCTGACCTTCCACCTTTCCAAGCAGTCCACTTGGCAATGCACTTTTTGTTCCACATTGTTGTCAAACATATAATACCTAGGGTGGAGGGACAGTGAAAGAGAGGGAGAGAAACAATGAGATGGATTGATGTAGTGACTTGAGTAATGAGGGTAGGTGTGTCAGAGACAGACCATTCTTGCCCTCATCTGTTCCAATGCAGTGTTCATTATCTATCCACTCTTTTCCTATTCTGTCCCCAACACACCACATCAGACCTATTTTATAAAAGTGGCGTTTTGCAACCAGATGCTCTGCTGGAGGAGGGGCAATCTCCTCCTGTGCCAGTTGGATCGGATTCGATGATACACAAGAAAAGAAAACAAAGTGGTAGGTATTGTGCAGTATTTCTCCTTTTGTGACTAAGGTATTTCTCTCAGCAGTAACTTGTTTGCACATGATAATTTTTTATAATTTCCACATTCTGTCGGACTACCTTTCTTGGGAATGTAAATAAACTATTCCGGTCAATTAACCAGGCAGCTATCCTCCAAATTTCCTGTCAAAGATTGGTGAGCATGTCCAGGGCTACATCTGTTAGTTGAAAAATGTCAATTGGTATCCCAATGATTCCTGGGGCTTTATTTTTTTGTCAATGCCTTCAGTAAAGTTTAAACTTCTTCCTTCATTACCATTGGTTCTTGTTCACATGGTATTTCCTGAGTTTTTTCAATGCAGACCAATTCTTTTTGATACAGTGACTCTTTAATCCTTCAGTATTCTTTTGATGCTTCTTAGGTCATGCGAGGTTTTGCCCATAGCATCTCTCTCAGCATTGCAACTCAAGGCTTAATTTGTTTTTCAGTTCATTCAGCTTAATAAAGGCAGAGTGAATTCCTTCCTTTTTTATTCTCTGACTCCAGATGTTTACACACTGTCCTTTGTTTTCTTGAGCTGCCCTTTGACATTTTCTGCACAACTCTTTTACTATGGAATCTAACCAAAAATTACATGAGCACAGAGCTAGAGTGCAGTGACTTCTGACCACCTCTAAATTCATAAAGGGGAGAAATACCCATTAACATCAATATCCAAAAGCCAATTTCTATGGGGTAAGACATGTTCAGCCCTTTACCATCTCAAACAGTAAGTCTTCCCTGTCAGTTTTGAAACCAACATTCCCTTCCCTGGCACTCAACTGCTTCTCACTGGGTCTGTTAATCCATTAAAATAGACACATCCAACTCAATAGAACTCAATAGGGTTTATTAGAGAAATAACAGGTTACAATTCAGGATCAAGAAAATCCCTGGATGCAGTTCTTCAGTTGGGGCAGCCTCTTTGCAGTCCTGTCTGAAGATGTAAACCTCTCTAGGCCCCTCCCATGGCCTTGTCCTCTGCATTGCTTGGGTAAGTGCTACGAACCTGAATTTTGCTGCTACAATTGTCTAGCAGCAGCCCACTCTGCAAAGCCTAACCTTAAAAGAGCTCATCCCTGCTGAGTGAAATATATCAGTCACAAAAGGACAAATACTGCCTACTATCACTGTTATAAAAGTAGGACAGACATGGGGGAGGGGAGAGCAGGAAAAGTATGGATAATGAACATTACATTGGAGTAGAAGATGAAAAGGACTATATGAAAGGAATGGATGATGAGACGTTGTATGCAATTGACAGTTACTCATCTGGAACGTGACATGCATTACAAAGCTAATTGGAGAGGGGGCAGGAAGAAAATATGTATTGATGAATGAATGAAAACCCATCCTTTCTGTAAACTTTAATTTAAAAAGCACAATATTAAAAAAAAATACAGTAGAAGATATGAGAGGAAAAAACAAAGGGAAATAAAAATGAAAGTTTATTTGCAT